TTATTTAAAGTTAACCTTCTACTTTTCAGATTGAGCGCAAAAATGAGTTGGTAAAAGAACTATTATCTATTGAATCAAGAAGAATGAGGCTATGCTTATGTATCTATATGATTTTTTGTTTATGCAGTTCTATAACTCTGATCCTCATCAAATAATAATATAAGCTCTTACAAATGGATTTTTCTAATTGAAATCCTTAACATAAAGATAATTCTTCAATATATTTTAAAATATTTTTGAATTCATATAAGTATTTCTAATTTGAATTTAAAGTAGTATTATCTGAATAATTTATCTCTTTTTAATCGCTAAATGATTCATTTATTTAATATCCTAAATAATATAAATCTTCTATATTTCTCAATACCTTGATATAAAGTAAAAGTTTCAGGGGTTGATTTATTATTGAATCCATAAATTTAAATACTAGGTTTTCTTAAAAGACCTATAAATTCAGAATATAAATTTACTTCATTGTACCGAGATCTATTTCGAAATCTTTCAATTTAAAAATAAGTTCATCAGAATATATTTAATATTATAAAATTGACATTCAAAATAATGAACAAGTTTAACCCATTCTATCAGAGGAATAATATTTAATTGTTCAGCTATAATTGATACTTAATCAGAATAAAATTTAGCATTTTTTGAACGATATAAAGCGGTCGGTCAATTTCTTCATCTAATATTTTGGCCATTCCATACTTAGAATTATTGATCTCATTATAATTAAATATCTTTTCAAGTTGTATAAAGTAAGGAATCATTTAAGGCATTTGTTCAATAAATTTATATTTCATCGTGAAATTAGAAATAATTTAAGTGTAATTGATTACATATTAGATTTAATGGAATATCAATTATTTCATCTTCAGAATTAAATCAGATAGCTAGCAAGTTTAAGATCATGTGAATTCACCTTCTTGGTTAAAATAGTCATAATTTAAAGTTTTCTAAATTACTTTTAATTGCAAAACCTTATGGAACATGCATTTTTAAGACATTATAGAGTAGAGTAGATTCAATAATGTATCCAAACAATTAATTAAACATATTTTAATTGCCTATCAAACATATTTAGTTATTAATAATTTTTCCTATCATTAATAAAAAAAATGTTTCATTTTGATAATCAATTACTACTAATATTAAATCCTACTGCTTCAGAGCTAACTCTCTGCATTCATTTATTCTTATATGCATTTTATTTGTCATCTAAATTTATAATTATCATTGTATGAAAACATGCCTTATATCTTACTTATTTTCTTCATAATTTGAGATTTTTCATATCTTTATTTTTAATTCAAATCACAGTATTTAAATAATCCAACAATTCATTATTATTTTATTCATCTTTTTAGCATCAAGAAAGAATAAACATATCGTATTCACTCAAGCTCTTACATTGTTTTAAAAGAAAGGGCTATATTTATTATAAATTTTCAATTTCAATTTGTTGATGGGGGTGTAATCTGAAATAATGTCATTATGAATTTTTTAATTTTTTAATAAAGATATTCCTAAACATAAACCAATAATTGATTACCTCAGACCAGTTTAATTAGTATTAATTGAACCTTCAAAAGAAGGTAGGGATGAAATCATGTTGGAAATATCATTCATGGGAAATCAATAAAACCTGAGAGATTAGAAACAAAGAAGCTATTTCTAAAAAGAATCACAGCTATCTAGATTGAAGAAAGGAATGTGGAGCTATAGAGTAAATCTAATAACTTTTATAGAAATTTAAAATCAAATAGGAATCCAATTGAAAATGGATCAACCGCAAAATCCTCAAAGTAGTATTGGTCATTTGCAAAAAGAAAGTCAACGCCAAAAGATTGTAATTGTCTTTTAATATTTAAAAAACAGATTTCTGATATTATCTGACTGTATAAAAATTAAGGTCTCTTTATTAACTATATCTTTATCTCTGGAGCGAATGCTGAACGTGACAATCAAGGAATTCAGAAAGAAAGGAAGAAAGTTAGATTTAAGAACTCTTAAACAGGACAAGTTCTTCAACCCACGTTGAGACCATCATCTCAAGGGAATATGTGTATTTAATTTGATTAATTCTAGCATCTATGTGAGACATTAATAATAGGGCTATCCAATATAAAACAGGCTTTTAATTTTATTTACATGAATAATTAAACTATAATAGTAAAAAAATGTTACTAAATCATAATTTAATTCAATTAAGAGAGATAATAAATTAAACAAAAATTTAATAAAAGGAGATAGAAAAATATTAGATGATTATTTCAGGCTTTATCCTTTAAAAAAGTTGTAAAATAATTCTCGAGAAACTAGAATACTCCTTTTCTGTGTTTAAGTTAATTAGGCTACCAATTTGAAGAATGGATTAAGAAGGAAATTTATATTTTTTATTTTTTTTTAATAATCATTTTTTTCATTTATTCATAAGCAATATTTAATGTTTTTTTTTGTGTATAATAAGTGTAATTTTTTAATCATTTGTATGAATCTTAAGAAAAAGGATTATACATTTTATTGTGTGTTAATAGAATTAGGATAATATAAATTAGGGTGTGAATGAATATATATTAGATATAAAATATTTAAAAAAATGATTTAGTAATCAAGTTTAAAGTTAAAATGTCAAGAAGATAATCATAAGGATGAAATAAAAACAGTTTGTTACAACTAGTATTGTACAGAATTTAGATTAAATTGTTTTAATGTATTAAGAAAGGTAGAATCCATCATGATCATTTTGATGGAATTGAAAAAATTAACACTTTGATGGATTTTATTTAAAGTAAAAATATAGAATGTGATAATTTGATTAATGATCTTAATA